TCTCTCTGTCTTTCTGGTGAGTGCACATGCCCTATAATAATAAAAACTTTACAATAAATAAATAACTCACTTTAACCTAAGATGAAATTACCTCCTCAGGTGATTCTGATACTCAGAAATGAAAAGAAAAGAGTAGATCAGTAAGTGCTTGTTGAATGGATGAACAGAATTAAAATTTAAATATATAATTGCGTAGTTTTTTTGGCTCTTATTCTGTATTTTGAATTGACACATAATTGTACATATTTATGGGGTACAGTTATTTTTCAGTATATAAATACAGTAAAGATCAAATCAGATACTAATTTATTTATCATCTCAGTTTTATTGATATATAAAGGAAATGATTAACTATTGTTACCTTACAGTGCTATAGAACACAAAAATTTATTCCTCTTGCCTAACTGTAACTTTGTTTTCATTAACCAACATTTTCCCCATTCTCCTAACTTACCTTTCCCAGCCTCTAATAAACACTATTCTATTCTCTACTTAACCTGATAACAGCCTTTTTAGTTTCCACATTTGATGCCCACATGCCTTTTGTCTGCTGTGGTAGTATATTGACTTTTTTTTTTTTCCTATCCTTCAAACTTTACCTTATCCTTTGAAGCTTCTTAGAGTCTCCTCTGTAATCGTTTTATACTTTAAGTATTAATGCAGTAACCATTAGAACATTTCTTTGGATTTTGGGCTTTCTGGAATCTTGCTAAAAACTTATCTCTTTGATTTTAACCTCAAGTAGAATGGGGTTGGGTTAGTATCTGCCGATTGAATAAACTTTCTCCTTGTTTCTGTACTGGCTAAAGAGGAGTTTAGTTATACATTTAAGATTGGTATTCTTATCAGTACTGTAGTCAAATGCAGAAGAACGTAATACATGTACAAAGGTGTATGTGTGTGTCAACACTATATATGTGTGTGTGTGTATGTAAAATATATACATATCATTTTGATTTAAGCAAAGAACTTCAGGCAATAATAGCAATGGCTGTGAAAAAAAATCAAACGATAGATCTGGCAGATTTCTAGGCAAGATAAATCTGAGAGGAGTGGAGCCATGACTATTCTAGATTATGTATTTTCTAATGGCTTTCAGGCTATTGATTGGATATTTCAAGCAGACTTCCATAAATGTTTATATGTCCCTTTATGCTTTTCAGCCTGAGCAACAGTCACATTTAGTGCCTACTTGGAGTATTACTGATTTTTTTAAAAAGTGTTTTGTTGCTTTGAGTAAGTACTTCAGGATACCGTTGCTTTCTTAGATAATTTCTTTTACCATCTTGGATACAAGTTATTTTGTCTTATAGGACTTTTTGCTGAAATAATAATGTATCAATAAATCAAACAAAGTGTGTTACTTATAAATGTAATCTAGATTCCAAAAATATTTATAATTTCAGCTGCATTCCATCAAGAAAGACCAAAACAACTGAAAAGTTTCCAACTCCTTAAAGAAGACCCCTCAGAACTCACATGATAGCCATTACACTTGGTTGTAGATGAAAATATACAGTAAGCTGGAGTTCTTACTAAGAATAATAAACCTTTAAATGCTTAGATCAGTATAATAAAATATAAATTATTTCACTGAGAATAAAAATGTAGCTCCTAGATTCTGTGAAAAACAAAAGAATAAAATATGACAAAATCCAGGCTGGTCCTGAAAAACCTCAGAGGTCATTGTAATCTATAGGGATAAGTATATGGTATGTGTGTGTGTGGGGGAGAGGGTTTTGCACCTCTTGTTTAAGATGAGACAATAAAAGAGTAATACTTTAAGTTGAAGGCTCAACAACCCTTCCAAAAATTAAATAAAAATGGAATGAATATATGGGCGTGGGCACGGGTGCCTGCATGCACGCCCAAGATCTGGAGAGGAGAGGAGAATGGAGGAGAAGGGATTGCGGGCAAGGCCATCCCCCCAGGGGGTGATTACTCACTTTCTCTGTTTCTCTTTGTCTTTCTGGCAAGTACACGCGCCTATAGCAAACACCTCTCCATAGGAAAAAGAAAGAGAATGAGGACACATGAAAAAATAAAATAAAAATGAATGAATATATAACCTGACCCAATTTATATAGTAAGATTATAGTATTTATCTGTATATAAGTATATGTACATATTTATACAAACATATATTATAAATAGGGTGGTTATTTATCAAAATACTAGTAGTAACATAATCTTCCTGTAAATAGACTGTGGGGGAGCTTTTTGGTTTTGTTCTTTTCCTTTATTCCTATTTCCAAACTTTCTTTTTTATTTTTTAAATACTTTATACATTCAATCACTCTATATCATTATAGTATATTTCTGAAATTTCTATGCATATGTATTTGTATATTTAAAATCTAAAAATTAATAGTAAAGAACTCATTCCTTTTTCTTTTTTAGGATTTTGTCATAAGACATGTGCACTCAGAGAGATCCTGAGAGAAGGAAATCACTCCCAGGGGGGATGACCATGCCGCAGTCCGGTCTCTTCCATTCTCTCCTAAGGATTTTGGACACACACGCATACATGCCCGGCATGATTTTCAAGCCACTGGGTCTGGAACTTGAACCAAACAGTTGGCCATCTGGGAGTCCTATGCCCAGCCACCATGCCATCAGGCTATTGATCCAGTATTTAAGCCAGACTTCCAAAAATGCTTATAGATCTTTTTATGCTTTTCACCCTGAGTAACAGTAATATTTAGTATATATTTGTAGTATTACTGGCCCTAGTAAAGAACTCTTAAAGACCCAGTCATCATGGGCCAGAAAATGTGCTGCTCAAGTAAGTAGATAGCTCAGAACTGTGCCTAAAATAGGCTTGGCAGATCTCTAACATAGAGAGATCCAGAAGTTTTTTGTTTTTCGGTTTTTATTTTAAGAATTATTTTATTTAACTTTTTATTTATTTATTTTAATTTGACCAGAGAGGAATAGAGTGAGAGAGTGAGAGAGAGAGAAAGTGAGAAAGCAAGCTGCCAATTCCTAGACTCAAACCACAGTTGGCCATGTGGGAGTCCAGTGCCCTTAACTACCACGCTACCTGCTGGCCCAGATCCACGAACTTTTTAATACAGTGGCGTGTGTACATTGAAGTCACCCAAAAAGCTTAAATTTTGATACCTAAGGTGCCACTCTTAGGACTCTGAAGTTTTTCTAGTTATTGTAGTATACAGCTAAGGTTGAGAGCCACTGCTATATAGGAAACTTTTGGAAACATCTCATTTGTTTTATTTATTTTTATTCTGTTTAAACTGTTACTACCCTGTACAAAGATCTCATTGAACAACATACACATTATATTAAGCTTTTAAAAAACTGTTTTGGTGTCTAGCCTACAACTGAATTGGGTAACATGATAGGCTCTTTTTTTAAAAAAAAAAAAAAAGAGAATGATCTTATTTAACTTTATGTGTTTATTTATTTATATATATTTATTTTAATTTGACCAGAGGGGGACAGAGAGAAAGAAAGAGAGAGGGAAAGTGAGAAATCAAGCCACCAGGTCTGGGACTCAAACTGTGGTCAGCCATGTAGGGAGTCCAGCACCCTTAGCCAACATACCACCTGCCAGCTCCTATGATAGACTCTTAAATTCTCTGCCTCTGCTTTTTTCTACCTCCATTCTATCTTTCACACTGTCATAATAGTTAATTTTCTTTTTAAGAATTATTTTGTTTATTTAATTTTATTTGTTGTTGTTATTATTTTGACCAGAGAGAGACAGGGAGGAAGAGGAAGGGAAAGTGAGAAAGCTAGCTTCTAGGTCTAGGACTTGAACTGCAGTTGGCCATGTGGGAGTCCAGGGCCCCAGCCACAATGCCACTTGCCAGCCTCACGATAGTTAATTTTCTAAGCACATAAAATAATTACATTTCTACTCTGCATAGGAGTTTTAATTATCTGTTCTTTTCAGGTTAAAACATAAATTCTTTATCTAGTTCCAACCTATTTTCAGTTTTATTTCCTATTGGTCCAATGCTAGAAATAGCAATGTTGGACTCTCTGCACACTTCACCCCTACTTGCAAGGGACTTTGTTTTCATACCTACCTTTGCATGTGACATTTCCCTTGTCACTGATTTTGATTATAGTCTCGACAACGGATTCATAAATAACATCTATTGAAGTAGAATAAAACTCGCATTTATTGAACACATTTATTGAACATATTTTAATAAAGTAGCTCTTATACTCTTATTTGCCATCTCTAAGAAGCAGTCATTTTTCTTGTACAGTCGTAAACCTGAGGCTTCTAGATGGTGGATAACTTGCTTAAGATTATACAGCTAGTGTAGGCAAAAACAGTATTCAAACTCCAAGTCTGCTGTTTCTATGACCTTTCTCCAGCACCTCATATTGCTTCAGTAATAAATAGCCATATGATCATAATCCTGCCTTCTTTCCCAACAGAGTATGCATAAACATTTATTTTCAGCCTTATTTAGAATTCTTTATAGTAGGAAATATATTTAATGGTCTTAAACGGTACAGTAATCACTGTTTCCATTTTCCTATGTATAATCAGTTTTCTTAGTTTGCTGTGACTACCTGAGTGTGTGAGTTGTATAGTCCCGTGTTTTAACACTTCATACGTTTTTCTCTGCTGTCTTTAAAGTACTGAGCAGTTTCACTTTTCCTTTATTGTTTAAACCTGTTCTGCAGTTCTTATTTGAGCAAAATTTCATACTTTTTACAGTCTCACAAATTGACTGAGAAAGGTAACTTTTATAGTGCAGCGTACAGCCTGTGGAATCTTAGTCTCTGTTTGGGGAAGTGTTACTGTTTAACAAGAAGTTAATTTGGGCAATGTTAAAAATATGAGTTTTTTTTTCCCCACTATTCAGTTAAATTTGTAAATTAAAGATAAAATATAGTCTATTCCTTTACAAATACTTCTCAGATTTTACTGGTATTCCTAATTGTGTTATTCTTTCTTTAGAATATTGCTTCATTATTTTTGTTTTACAATCTAAATTGAATAACTTTTCCTTCATTAGATTGTGAAACATGTTGCATAAGCATTCAAGAAGTGGCTGAAGGAGGAAGGATTAAAGTGCCACTGCCTATCAGAAAAGAAACAAAACATGGGAAATACAACCACCAAATTCCGTAAAGCACTCATCAATGGTGATGAAAACCTGGCCTGCCAAATATATGAAAACAACCCTCAGCTAAAAGAATCTCTTGATCCAAATACATCTTATGGGGAGCCCTACCAGCACAATACTCCATTGCACTATGCTGCTAGACATGGAATGAATAGAATATTAGGGTAAGTATTATAAAAATTCCAGATAAGAAGTTGGTAAAAGAGAAAAAACAACTGTGACCTTTCAAAGTTCATACAGACATATGTTCATGATATATGGTATTGTAGTGAGTTAAATGTTCTAAAACTCAATATGCTTAAATTATTTGGTATTTCTTTATAATCATTTAGTTTGATTTACCTTTGTATCTAAATTAGACTAATAGTTTTAATACTTGCAGTGCTCAAAAATAACAAGGAATGATGTCAGAGGTAACTAAACCCTGATTAGCTATTTGAAGTTGAACACCAGGTGCATTTATCTTCAGTAGCCATGATCAGGTTTGAGTTTTGTTTCTTTTAGTGGAATTTAGTTACTTGAAAAGACTTCTATGTCCAGCCGATGGCATGGTGATTAAGATGACTAACTGTGTGATTCGAGTTCCAGACCCAGTGGCTTGAAAGACATTCTGGGAACATGTTCATGCCCAAAACCCCAAAAGGAGGATGGAGAAGAAGGGACTTGATGAGGAGGAGGGATGCTATCTCACTTTCCCTCTTTCTTTCTCTTTTTGTCTCTCTCTGATGAGTACTCACACCCTATAGCAAACTTGGAAGAAAAAAAAAGACTTTTAAAAGCAGAATATTTCCTTAAAACTGAAAATATAGGGAACCAGTTAGCGTAATGGCTATGTCGCTGGACTCCCACGTAGTCGACTGCGGTTCGCGTCCCAGACCCGGTGGCTTAAAACTCACGGCAGGCGCATGTGCATGCGTGCCCAAAATCCCAAGGGGAGAACGGAGGCGAAGGAATTGCAGCGTGACCATCCCCCCGGGGGGGTGATTTCTCGCTTTCTGTCTCTATGTCTCTCTCTGTCTGTCTGGTGAGCGCACGCGCCCTATAGCGAAAAACCTCTCAAAAAAAAAAAAAAACTGAAAATATAAAGAGACTTTCAAAATTTTATTTTTAACAAGAAAACATTTAGTGACATAGTAAATACATGTGTGTAAAGATTCTTACCTAACTACATGGGAATTACATTTGATATTTGCTAGCGTATGAAAGGAACAAAAGATAGAACAGTTTGATTTTTTGGGAGAAATACATTACAAGGCTATGGAAGTCCGATACTAGAAGAAAAAAGAAGAAACATTTCTTGTACAGTAAAATGCAATTCATAAATCAGTATTCATCGCTGTTTAAAATTTAACAAAACCCTTTAAACTTTTTTTCTGTTTCTTCTGTATATGAAGTGCTATTCGAGTTAAGCTACTCTTCTTATTCCCAGAACATCCCATGAGCATTCTGTCTACTGTGTCCATGCTGCTCTCTCTGCCAGGAGTATCTGTTTCTGCATTCCTCTCACTTTTTTATTATCTAAATTTTCCTTTTCCTTCAAAGATTTGTAGATGCTACATCTATAATCCATAGAAGCCATAATGTTTTTGTTTTAAGTTTCTGTGGATCCTTTTTCTTTGTTCAATTAGATCACTTACTTGCTGTACACTGCCTTATTATATTTTACAATTTTGTGTGTCTTCTCTCTGCCTGCCAATATTATAACTTGCTTTGAACTATCAATAGCTTTGTCATTCCACCATCTGACATAGTATCTTACATAGAGTAAACAGAAGTTTATAAAATCATTACACAAGGAAATATTTTTGTGATAAGGATTTGTAGATAAATATATCAATAAATAATTTAAGTCACTCAGGCCTGTTACTTAATCAAGTATTTCTTGACTTCCCTCACTGCCCCCTGCCAATTTGCCAGAGGGCATGTACTGCTGCTACAGAGAGACAAGAGAAAGAGAGAAAGGAAGAAAGCACCCCCCAGTGTGGTATGGGCACACCTCAATCTCTTTTCCTCCATTTTTCCATCCTGTTGTGATTCTGGCCACACACAAGCACACACATGCACCCAGTGTGTTTTCCAAGTTGCCAGGGCCAGGACTTGAACCACATAGTCGGCTAGGTAGGATCCAGCTCCCTTAACCACTAGTCCAAAGAAACAGCCTCCTCCATTAAAACTTGATAATATGACTTTTTGTTTTGGTTTGGTTTTGTAAATTAAGCACCTTATATGAAATTATAAAACTGTTGATTTAGCTTCCTAATGCTAATATTAAATACTCCAATTATATTTAATATCAACTTTCTTTATTGTTTTCTAGAGGGCCCATGTGCTTACCAGAGAGAGACAGAAAAAGAGGAAGAGAAGAAAGTACCCTTCCATGGAGAATGTACACACTGTAATCCGTTCTCCGTTTCTTTCTCTTTCCTGGATTTTGGGCACACATACACACACACCCAGCTTGTTTCTCAAGCCACCACTGTGGAACTCAAACTACCCAGTTGGCCATTTGGGATATGTATACCTTAACCACTAGGTCATAGAGCTAGCCCTAATATCAACTTTTATATATGATTAATTAAAACTTGTTTAAAATACCAACATAAAACGTATTTAATGTATATTTATATTTAAATATTATTATTACTAAGGTACATTTTATGTGTGGGGGGGTCTTTTTGGTTTCTTTTTTTAGAAGTTTTTTCCTACAGGGTGTGTGTGCTCACCAGAAAGAAAGAGAGAGACAGAGAGACAGAAAGCAAGAAATCACTCCCCGGGGGCGGGGTGGGGGGATGGCCACGCCACAATCCCTTCTCCTCCATTCTCTTCTCATGGTCTTGGGCGCGCATGCACCTGGCCTGAATTTAAGCCACCAGGTCCGGGACTTGAACCGCAGTCTATTACATGGAAGTACAACGACATAGCCATTATGCTAACTGCTGGTCCCTTTCTATGTGAATTTTTTTTTAAATAATTATTTATTTTATTTATTCATTCATCTATTTTTTAATTTGACCAGAGCAAGAGAGAGGGTGAGAGTGACACAGAGAGGAAGTGAGAAAGCAAGCCACCAGATTCAGGACTCGAACCCTGGTAGGCCATGTGGTAATGTCCAGTGCCTTAACCATCATGCCACCTCCTGGTCCCTATATGTGTATTTTAATAAAGAAACAAGTAGCAAAATATTTTTTAACCATTTATATTATAACCTTACAAATACTGTTTATAAAATTAGAAGATATTATGAAAAATTAGTTTAACCCAGTTATTTTTTTTTTAAAGATTTTTCCTATAGGGCATGTGTGCTCACTGGAGACAGAGAACGAAAGTGAGAAATCACTCCCCACGGAGGATGGCCATTATGCAATCCCTTCTCCTTCATTCTTTTGTTGGGATTTTGGGGGTATGTGCACACCTAGTGTGAGTTTCAAGCTGCCAGGTCTGAGGATTGAACTGTTGTTGGTCATGTGGGAGTTCAGCACTTTAACCACTTTGCCACCTGCTGGCCCCTAATCCAGTTATTTTTGAAATGCATTCTGAGGACTCAGATCCCAAGACTCTTTCAAGAAATATGTGAGATCAAAAGTATTTTTATAATAATCTAACAAGTTATTTGCCTTTTCTCCACTATGTTGATATTTGCAGTGATACTACAAAAATGGAGAGTAAACAGCTAAGACCTTTAGAAGAATCAAGGCAGTGGCATCAAACCACTGTTGGGTTGTCAGAAAAGTCATGATATATTTTTGCATTGAAAAACACAACTTGATTTTTCTGACAACCCAATAGTAATCATTTTTATCCATCACCATTAAGCACTTGGAGTTAAAAAAACAAAGCCCTTTCACTTTAAAATAATCTTTGATAAAGCAATAAAAGTATTCATTTTAATTAACCCTACCCTTGAGTACTTATCTTTTTAATATTCTGTGTGAAAGATAGGCAGAATACAAAAAGCACTTTTGTATACCAAATTGCGATGATAGCTTACAAGAAGAACACTGTGCTATTGTTTGAATTAGGAGTTGAAACACTGTTTTCCTGTAATACCATTTTACAACTTGCAACCAAAAAAATAATAATAATAATGGTTATTCAGACTCGGGTTTTTAGCTGACATTTTCTTGAAAATGATTTTAGTGAGTCTGTCAGTGCAACAAAAACGACTGCCAAAATTTGTTGCTAAATATATAATAAGAGCTTTCAAGTGAATACTAAAATTTTGGAAAACTTGTGTTTATTACTGTTAAATCAAAAACTTCCTAGTACTTAGAAACTTTTTTTGGGGGGGAGGGGGGTAGAAGTTTTTGCCTTAGGACACATGTATTTGCCAGAGAGAGAAAGAGACAGAGACAATGAGAGGGAAAGCAAGAAATCACCCCGCAAAGGGAATAGCCACACCACAGTCCCTTGTCTATTCTCCTACACATGTACATACATGCACCCGGCGTGAGTTTCACGCCTCTGGGTCTGTGACTTGAACCCTGGTTAGCCATGTGGTAGTTTAGCGATGTAACCCCTCTGCCATCTGCTGGTCTTAAAACTTCTGATAAGATTGATGGTGATATAAACTGATGTTATTTTGTTTTTTTATATTGTATAAATGGAATATGACAACATCTAGAAGATCTAAATAACTCAGTGAATCGTTATTTTGCAAAGGCTCAGTGTTTTATTTTTTAAAATTATGCATGGGTAAAAGATTTATTTAAAATGTAAGGTAGACCAATAGATTTTAATGACATATAGTATAAAAAGTTCATTGATGTAGTTTCAGATACTACATTGCAACTAATCTTTAAGAAATTACTGGCCTGGTGGTAAGGCAGCTGGATCCCCTGTGGCTGACTGCATGGTTCTCATCCTGGACCCAGCAGCTTGAAAAACATGCCAGGCACATGTGTGTGCTTGCCAAGGACAAAAGGAGGGAGATGGAGTGGAGGAGAAGGGATTGCGGCATGATCATTCCCCATGGAGGATGCTTTCTCGCTTTCTCTCTCTTTGTCTCTCTGGTGAGTGCACTTGACCCCTGGAAGAATTTTTTAAAAACAAAATTAAAAAAGAAAAACAAAACAAAACAAACATACCAAATGGTCCAGCTATTCAGGAGACTGAGGCAAGAAAATCATTAGATCATAGCCAGTGTGTTCCACACAGCAAGACCCTG